CCAACCACTCCCGACGAACTCCCGCCACAAATGACAGCTCTGACAGCTTTGGCCCGAATGTAAACAAATGGGCGGAGCAAGTCAGGGTCCCGTACCGCCCATTTATTTTCATGCCATTTCAGGTCCCTTTGTTTACATTCCGGCCGTAGCTGTCATTTGTGGCGGGGGTTCGTTGAGAGTGGATGGGTCGTCGGGTGGCGAGACATTTTTTATTTCAGCGAGTCGGGGTCGTTATAGACACTGGATTACATGGCTGGACCACATCATTGACCCTTGATCACATTGTTGGATGCTCTCTCTCCTTTCCCCTCTTGTTTGCCCTGCCAGGCCAGGGCTCAGAATAAAGGTCTGGTTTGGATTTTTTTTTTTTCTGGGTGTTGGGGTCCCCCTTAAAATTCGTACCAGATCTAAAGGGTCTGGTATGACTTTTGGGGGGAACCCCATGCATTTACATGTCATTTTTCATTCTGTTCGCTACCTCTGAGGTAGCGAAAAGAATGACCAAGCATGGCAGCATTCAGCTTCTCATGCTCTGCTGTTTGGCCCCTATGAGAATAACAGCAGTGAATCAACTGCTAAATGTACAAACGCAAATGGTCACTCGCACTCCAACTTGATGCAAAGTCAATACCTTTTATTGCCTGGGATAGTGTCACATTTATATAATGGGATATACCTTCAACTGCTAAATGTTCGGCTCAGCCGATCCAGATGTTGCATTGGTTGAGGTGAACAGATTCTCCCCTTCGGTTTGGTTAAACCGAAGGGAAGTGGAGTGAGCCGAATGCAGCCGATGTATGGCTAAAAATAGTCGTACAGAGCTGCTGTGAATAGCCGAAGAAGCTTCAGCTCATTTTTACTTTGGCTCGGTTATTCACTCGGCTGCCTTCGGCACCTTAGTGAATAACCCCCTTAGAAACATACCAATGGGTTGAAGGTCATGCAAACTATTCACATACCCTTAGGGCTCAGTAACTAAACTGAGCACTGAGAGCTCACAGGCTGCACCCTAGACAGCACAATGGTAATTGTTATAGCAATTGTGTTTTAGAGAACACTGTAGTTAAAGTGAACCTGTACTTTCTCCATGCAGGCTCATCAGCAGGTTCCATTTAAATTGATCACAGCTGGTTTGACATGCCTATTTCCTGTTTCACAGTCACTCCATTCATCTGCTGCAACTTGGAGCTTACATTGGGCTGAGGACTCTCTCCCTGCCCCCATATGACAGCGGTCACATGGATGGCAAGGAGTAAGTAACATGCTCCATCATATCTGGAAGTATAGAGTATGTCACTTTGATTCCCTAGGAAAAAGTAGTGGAAGGAGAGCAAGGGTAAGGTAAAGAGAAACCACTAAGGAGCGAACCAGTTGCTTTACACTGTATGGACATATACTATTAAAACCTTTGATTTTAGGATAATACCAGAATATTTCTGATTTATTTATTTTAATCCTTTTTTAACCTTACATCTATCTAGTTTTTTTTTTTTAATATGCTCCAAAACATGTCAAAGTATGTTACTTTGATTCCCTAGGAAAAAATAGTGTTGGGGGAGCAAAGGAACGCTAAAGAGAAACAGCCACGGAGTGGACAGTAAAGTGAACCTGTTGCTTTACCCTGCATGAACAAAGCAGATATTTACTTTAAGCTCTTGCTATCAGATTTATATGTATGCTGAGAAGTTAGTAGACAGTGTTTGATGACAGCTTTCAGCCTACAGTCAATTGCCTCGATAACTGTATTTGGTCAACACTAAAAAATACATTTTGGAATGACTTATCTTAAGGACAGTGCTCAGTGTGTATCTGCCAATTCTTCTTTCTTACAAATGCTGTCAGCTTTGCCACACATTGGACAAACTAGACGTCAATAGATTTTGCAGAATAGCAAGATAGGAGAACAAACAACATTTTGCTTCTCCGGTTTTTGTTCAGGCAGACTAGTAAAAAAAAAAAAGACCCCGACATACTCCTATCATTTCTGTTAAATCCTGAGTGGATTATAGATGTTTCTGCTTAGATTTCATTTGGTTTTTAAAATAGTCATAACTCTAAATGCCAGAAAAATATAAAAACATTTGTT